GCGTCGATCTGCGTCAGCACGCCGCCGACGCCCCGCCCGCTCGCGTCGCACGTCAGTATAACCGGTTTCTTGGAATCATAATGCGCTAGGGTGTCCACGCTACCTAAAACTTTTTTAATTCCTAAAAATGCATTCTCGCAATCCGCGGACCAATGCCATTCTTTATCTTTCTTAAGCAACTCATATAGTGGGTAAAGTTTTCCACTCATGTTTTTTATAAATTTTCCGTAAAAATTTAATATACCTAAAAATGACCGTAATTCCGTTACATTAGCCGGCCTTGAAATTTTTACAATAGCTTCGATTTTAGCTGGATCTGTTTTAATACCTTCTTTACTAATTATGTAACCTAGGTATCGTACTTCCTTAACCAGGAATACACACTTGCTGGCTTTTAATTTAAGCCCAGAAGCGTGTAGCCTACTAAAAACTTCCTTTAAGGCTTCCAAATGTTCCTTAATCGTCCTACCGCCGATAATCACATCATCTAAGAATATCTCCACATTCGGTATACCCCGTAAGAGATTGCACATAATGCGTTGAAAAATACCGGGACTTGAAGCCAAACCGTACACAAGCCTATTATATCTATAGAGCCCCCTATGCGTATTGACAACAGTGTACCTTTTCGAATCGTCTAATTCTATCTGATTATAAGCCTGCGAAAGGTCGATTTTAGAAAAGAAACACGCCCCACTTAAATTTACCATTAAATCCTCGATACGTGGTAGAGGATATCGATCAATGTGTAAAACGGGATTTAACGTTGCCTTGTAGTCAGCACAAACCCTCAAAGAGCCGTCCGCCTTGTTGACCGGCACAAGCGGTGATGCCCAGTCGGAGCAGTCGACGGGCTCGATGACGCCGTCGCGCAGCATGCGGTCCAGCTCGGCGTCGACGCGCTCCCGCAGCGCGTACGGCAGTGGCCGCGCTCGGTGGAACACCGGCGTCGCCCCCTCCCGCACGCGCAGCGTCGCCTTGCCTCCCGTATAACGGCCGAGGCCGCCACTGAATAACTCCTTATACCTAGATAACAAATAATCTATCTGAGAGCTACATTCCGACTTATTTTCTCTTAAACTGTGGCAATTGCTAAACATTGGGACAGTTATTTGCAAATCGCTAAGCCATTGCCGCCCGAGCAACGATGTGTTACCACCCGAAATAACAAATAATTCCAGCCGCTTTTTGTGGTCACCGTAGCGTACTACTGGTTTAATAAAACCCAACGGCTTAACCTTACTACCATCATAAAAGCTAAAAACTAAATGACACTTTTCTATAATATGATGCTTAAAGTACCTTTTATAAGTTTCATAACTAATACACGATACGGCCGAGCCTGTATCTACCTCCATATTGATTGCTATCGAATCGATTACAATAGGAACACTAACCGGCTTGTACTGGTTAAAGCGGAGGTGGTGAACTGCAGCTACCTTCCTGCCATCCCCCGCTCCGTCGAAGCTGAGTTCGACGTGGTCAGCGCCGTGACGCTCACCGCGCCCCTGGTCGCTGCGCTTGGGACACGCGCGCCGCAGATGCCCTGTCTGCTTACACATGCTGCACGCATAATTACGTAACCGACATACCGCCTCTCGAGGTCTCGTCGCTACGCCGTCTATACTCGATACCAGGTACCGTCGCCCGCTGTCTCCGGCCGCTCCGCCGCGCCAGCTTGCGGCACCAGTTGCTCCACCGCAACCTCCACCGTGCTCCCACACCGCATCGGTCGATGGCCTACGCCAGCTTCCCGCGCCGACTGCTTCGCTGCGCCATCTTGCCACGCCAGCAGCCCCGCTGCTCCGGCTGCCCCAAGTCCATGCTCCGGCTGCTCCGCCGCGCCACCTTGTTGCGCCGGCGGCACCGCTGCGCCCACACCTCGCAACGGCTGCCCCGCCGCGCCACATCGCCGCACTGGCCGCTCCGCCGTGCGCTGTTGCCGCTCCGCAACAATGGCCGACCGCGCCGCTTCGCGCGTTAACCGAAAGCGTACTTGCCATAAACATTGTTTACAACAACGTTTACACTGCGTCGAAACACTCGAGTCCGTATTATGCACTCCGCACAATACAAAACCGCACTGATTTTTATCCTCGTCGCCAATGTGGTGTCCGAAATAAAAGTCGTGCGTATAGGCCAAGGTGTTTAATCCGACTGACACAAATTATGCACATATAAATCAGGTATAATATTGACAGTTTATTTACAGGTACCGACACTACAACCCCAACAATAATACATAATAGAGTCATCCTTTTTTTTAATATAAGGGGGCAAACGAGCAAGCGACCACCTGAATCCGCCAAAATGGCAAATCGTCCTTTTTATTCTGTATAGAAGAAACAAAGATGACCATACGTTTTTGGCTATGATTAGTATTAAAGCCTACTGGTTATCACCCGCAACTTCTTTAGCATGATATTATAAAAAGGTATATAACCTATGTGGTCTTCCAGACTATGCTCTACATCTATGCCAAATTTTATCGAGTTCCGTTCAAAAGTTTAGGCTACAAACTCTAAAACATACATCCATCTTTCGCATTTATAATATTAAATAGTAATATTAGCCAACGTTAGTAGGCTAACGATATACGATATACGATATGAAGAGTAACATCAATTAATTTATTTGGACGATTTTATTTTTTTAAGAACGATCACGGAGGCCCACTGGTAACATGGATCGGTGGGAAAGAGTACCTTATCGGGGTCGCGTCCGTATTCCGGGTAAATAACGCATCGCAATGCGAAGGACCGTATCTATTCACAAGTACACAATGCAATGGCGCCTTTTTAAATTGTGTTCTTAACGACAATAGTACAAGGTAAGCAACTTCAACACTTGATAAGCCAGCCAGATATCTATTGGTATATTTGCAACAAGTGTAGTTTCAAACAGTTACGAGATGTACAGTATTTGTAACTGCGAAAAATGCCGAGTACAGTCGGATAATCTGGCGGTATTATACCTTGAAAGCTAGAGTTGCTTGAAATAACGCTTAAAATAACACGGCATCATACCAATAGGGAGTAGCTTTTATATGTGTGTAGGAAAAAAAATCTGTCAGTGGTACAACACTTATTTTTATTATTCCGTAGTTTGCGCAACTCTTTGACTCCATCCAAGAAATAAGGAAACATTTCTGTAATTAAAACACTGTAGATTTCCGTGACTGTACTTTTTCATTATTGATATTAATTATTTTAGACGTGGTGACTCCATTTGTGACCTGCCAGCAAGAAAACGCGGTTTTGAAATGATACACAAGCACATATCGTGGGATAATCATCCATACGGGTAAGAATTAGAGGGTTATCAAAATAAAAGAGGCAACATAATTTGAATTTAGAACGTTTCACTAATTTTTTTTTTAGAATGGCAGAGAATGAAAAAATTAAATACCGGCCACTTTTGCCTTTACACAGTTTATACGAAGTCAATAAATAATAAGATTTTTAACGAAGTCTACATCTTTCTGTGTCTCTAATTTATTTTATTTAAATATTCTATGATCTGAATGTGAGAATGAATACAATGTTGTGTTGTTTAAAAATAATAGTTTAAACTAATACATAAAAGTCGTTTTTAGTGTTTCTATTTCTTCGATTTCTGATCCTGTTCCTAAAAAATTACACTTTACGTGTATTTCTTCTTCGAATGACATCTCTTCGAATGACAGGAGTTTGGTAACCGATATGACAATTTGCGTGCACAACTGATTAATTTTACTAATGTTATAAATGCGAAAGTTTAGATTGATAGATGGATATTTGTTAGTTTGTAGCTAACTGAACTGGCTGAACGGATCTCAATGAAATTTGGCACAGACGTAAAGGATAGTCTGTAAGAATACATACTTACTTTTGTTTTTTTTTATACCACGCGGACGGAGTCACGGGTGAAAGCTAGTTAAATAAATAATTTTCATTTACTGTTCCAACTCGCAGAAAATAAAGATTTCTAAACGGAACAGCCAATATTTGATGCGAGAGGCATTTCAAGAATAAATGTTCATCAGACGTATAAGTTACGTGGTGCCGAAGAACCGACTTTAGTCCCTTTACCTTCCACCCTAATTCTTATAAGAAAAGGATGGGAAGGGAACGTAAATTTGACGGTGCAAGAGACGCATAGAAAGGGGAAATATCCTTTTTATCTGCGTCCCCTCCTCCGTCGATTAAGGGTAGGCAACTCATCCGCTGTTGTGGATGTCTATGGGCAGCGATCGCTTCATCAGTTTGCCGGATTTAAGTGGCGGGTTGCTCGTTTGCCATCTTAAGATTAAAAAAAAATCTTTTCTTAATAAAGCCTTATCTTTGTTTTATTTATTTAAATACATGGTAATGCAGATAATTTTTAAAAGCTTAAATTAGTCAAAATAAATCCATACCATTTTAAACTCAATTTAACTGCTGGCCGTGACAAATTGTATTTTGACCGTCGTCAAAATCTCAGAAGTGGAAGTCACTAACAAACTTTTTTGACAAGGGACGATCTAACACATAATTGGAACATAGCTTTGACGGAACGATGTTTTATGCATGCAACATAAATTTTACATCTACTCGTATATCTATCTATTCTAATTACAAAGAGGTAAGATTTGTATTTTTGTATGTATTGAAATAACTCAAAAACTACTGGGCCTATTTTAAAAATTCTCTTACAATTGAAAAGCTACGTTATCAGTGAGAAACACAGGCTACATCTTATATTATTTTTTTAATTCCACGCAGGCGCAGTCACGAGCAACAGCTAGTCTTACTAACATGATAAATACGAATGTTTTGTATTTTTGTATCCATTAAAATAACGCAAAAACTATTCGGGCGATTTTAAAAATTCTGAGTAACATAGGCTATATTTTTAAATTTCACGAGCACGATGTTGCGAGCAACAGCTAGTTACATATAAAGTTACCCAGGAAACACAGCTCTATCGGTCGAGTATTAAAATGAGTTTAATATTTTTATAATTAATGTAATATCTACGAGGCTCTAAAAATTAACGATTGGATTACATATTAACATTTGTATTAAAACATGGTGGACGTCGGAGCCCGTCCCTTAATTTAATTACTATACTAATACCATATAATCAAAAAAACCCTGTAGACTTATTTATCAAAATTGTATTAAAACAACTCATCTTCCATAATTTTTCGATCTTGGTCTGTTCTTATGTAAACTCCTTAAAGGTATGAGAGGTCTGTAATTTATTTTTTCATTTTCAGCCGGCCTGTAAATAAAATAAAATAAAATGAAGGATTCTAAATGTCTCAATGGAACACTACGGTTATGAAGTGTGTTCCAATTTAAATACTTGACGCAAACTTACCCATCCGGATGATCAGCCCATGATATATGCTTGTGTATCATTTCAAAGCCTCGTTCCTTTGCTGGCCGGTTACATATCGAATTAGCGCGTCTAAAGAGAAAAAAATGTACTTGTACAGCTTTGTACAGTTACAATGTGCCTTGCAAAAACTCAAACTCCGCCTCTTGTTACAAATAACTAATTAGGTAGCAGTGTTTTGTGCAAACGACTGAATAATAATAATAATCAGTTAGCCTTATACCAGTGACCGAATTTTATTCGTACATGCACATTTAAAAACTACGTCTCTTTTGTTATTTCACATTTCAGTTTCAATGCGTACAAAGGGTTTAAACAATTGCAGATTTAAAGTGGAACACCGTCAAATTCCCTAACTGTACATGTGTAAATTATTAATTAAAATGAAACGGCATAAGTTACCTTGATTTCGCCGGGTTAAGAATACAATTTAAAAAGGCACCATTGCACTGTGTACTTGTGAATAGATACGGTCCTTCGCATTTCGATTCATTATTGACTCTGAATACGGATGCGACACCTATGAGGTACTCTCTACCACCGATCCATGTGACTAGCGGCCCTCCATGATCGTTCTGAAAAAAAAAATTAATAACTTGTCTGGTTTGCTTAAGAGAATGAAAGACATGACGATCCGCCTTAATATAAGTGACAAAGTACCGATTTTTCATATTGTATTATATTAACAAAAAAATACCTGACAGATGCCATTTCTCCTGCTCGGTACAAACTCTGCCTCATAGTCCATATTCGTTTTGTCATTTAAACTTCTCCGACATTCGCCCTGAATGTAACATAACAAAGATTTGGTGTTTCTACTATTTGTAATTTTTGACTATACATAAACGGAATAGGGAAGGCCACCATTATAGTCAATAAATTCTGCCACTATTCGAAGGTTTGTAGTAAACACCAAGCCCTCATATGCTCATCTTGATGACAGAAAAAATAGAAAGGTCTGATTTAAAAAAAATCAATGAGCAGTTTTATAACTTTTATCTCATTTCAATAACTTTTTACTATTCTTTCGTCGATCATAGTGTGGAATATAAGTACTTTGTTACGTGCTTTAGACTATTTACTGACAAATAGCATTAGTGAAAATTAGACGAAAACTGTCTGAAGGGAATTAGGTTATAAGTCTCTCTATGTTATATTTAAATCTCTTTCTGACTCGTTACTAGCAGTAAACGATGTAATATTGTTGTCTTCGTTCTTAATAAATTGTGAATCATATTAAAGTTTATTATGTAAATGAAAATTCAAGCGATATACCTTCGAACCATTACTTATCGGACATCCTTGAGCATCAGGTTTCAATGTGGTCATAAGATTACCTTGGTTGTCCAGATTTCCTGCTCCACTTGTACAAATCATGTACTTTTCTATAATATCTTGTAATTCTGGTATATCACTGTAACCTTCTTTGCATTTCTTTTTATTTATAATAGAAACCGATGCGTAATGAGGTTCTTTTTGTAACAAACGTTGAGTATCGCCAGGCTTAAAACAAATTTATTGCAATTTATCCAAATCTTTTTAAAAATGCTCTAAGATTTTACTAGGATACGGGTTAAGACAACAATACCATGACAGTATTCGACCGACTGAAACCGTATAATATGTATGTATCAGATGTTCGTAATGACGATGACGATTTATCAACTTACTTGCTTCCATACTTCGCTGTGTCCCCAACCTATGACTATAGCGTCAGTGCCTGGTTCTTGAAATCGAGGATCATAATTAATAGGGATAGGTGCAGGATCGTAGTCACAATAACCTTGGTCAAATTTGAATTCCCCATCGATTTTCGCTATGCCAATATCAATAGCTGACCACTTTC